AGGAGGCTAAATGCCAGTAGATCCCCGCTTTTGTCACTTTTGCACAAATATATTGCATAACAAGTACGAAGATGAGGTGGTAGTCATCACTTGGAGACGTGGAATCTGGAAAGTATGGATGATGTCGATGATGAAGCGAGACGATGTCTACGGTCGCATCTCACTTTGCAGTTTAGGTCATGCTGACAGGCTGCATGGCGGTACAAGATCAAGCAGTGGATGGAAAATTTGGACCCTATCCAGAATGAGTGATGTATCTTAACTGTTCTTGAAGAGACACTCCTTTAAGGCGTAGTTAACTATATGTGGTGGTGTGGTGCATAGTGAGCAAAACCAGCGATGAAGTGGTGGGTGTGCTCTGGAGCTGCAAGTTGTTTAGACAGAAGTACCCACATCCTTGGTACACTAAAATGACATAATCAAAGCCATTTTTCATGACAAGTTAGTCAGTCTGTCAAGTCAGGCACCATTTTGCCAACAAGGCATTTGCAAATTTACTTGAAATAGGAAAAGAGTGATTTCATATGCCTAGAGGCCTCTTTTAACATCAATTGATGTTCAGGAGCCTCTACAATGAAAGTGACGATCAACTGTCGTATAACCTATGGACAAGTTATCCCCCAATTATTTATGTAGTCGTCGAGAGTATTGTGTGTTCTTGGAGGTGATGCAACTTCCTCTGGTATCTCGGCTCCACTAATAGATAGAAGAGTCTGCTGCCACAGAACACACCATTTCTAAGTGCTGTGAAACAGGCCCCACGTTTATTTGTAGAGATGCATAAACTAGGGTCAATTCATTTGCTTCATGTCTCCATCCAATCGTGGCTGCAACTGCAAAGCATTCCCCTGCACTTTCTTCTATCTATAACGTGGCAGACGTCTGTCCACGCTAGCACACTCCTTCTCACAGCCCTGTATTACGCGAACTGCGATTAGACATGCGCGCGAAGGCGATAATGAAGAACATTGGAGACTACCACTTTTTCAAGGCTTCACATGATGGCTAATCTTCAGCAATTGCTGAGGGATATGCTCTTCCTCAATGCCATCTCATTGCCTCATACTAAGCAGGGCTGTGGTACAAGTGCACTGATAACCACTGCACGGCTGAGGTCACTCAGGCACTCTAGGCATCCGTGA